CTCAAAAAAAAAAAAAAAAAGAAAGAAAGAAAGAAAGAAAAAAGGAAGGAAGGAAGGAGGGAAGGAAAGAAAGAAGGAAAGAAAGAAAGAAGCCCCATTGCCCCTTTACATGTGCCCCTAGGGGAAAACAGGATCCACAAGCCAGAGGTCCTCACAAGTGGTAAGGATGGACCAAAGCAGGAACAAGAGGAGGGGACTGCTGAGCACTGGTGCCCAGAAGTGCTCCTGAATGTTCTTTTACCAGGATGTGACCCCTAATAGAACCCCAAAGGGCCTACATCTAGGGATGGGAAGGAGCTGCGACAAGGCAAGGTATGGAGGTGGGGAAAACCCACCTCCTACCAGGGTGACATCTGCCCCCTCATTACACCCTCTTGCAGCTGTGAGGAGGAAAAAGGAAGAGGGAGAGGTCCTCACCACACACTAACAGCTTGTGTGACTGGTCATGCATGGTGGGCACCGCAGTGGGCCCTGGGACTCTGCCCCACAGTATGGCCCAGCCTGCCCCAGAGGAAGTGGCCACTGAGGCAAGACAGGACCTCTGTCACCTGAAGAAGATGTCTGTGGAGAAGCAGGTTTACATGGGGTGGGGTGGGGGCACATGTTCCGGGACTTCGCAGTCTGTGAGGTGAGCAGCTATGTTAAAGTCTGCCTGGAGATGACGCTTTCTGTGGCTGAAGGGTGCCTGTGGTCACTGTTATCTTTTTCCATGGCAGAGAATGACGGGTCATTTTCAGAAAAGGTCATTGAAGAAAAGGTCATAGCAAGAGACTCTACAAGTATTTCCTTAAGGCTCACTGTTTCCTAAGGTGTCCCTACAGCTGTTAATAGTCCCTGCTTGATTAAAGTTTCCAACAACCCAGTCCCCTCCCCCAGGCACCCTTTCAAGTTCTCCCCCAGACACAGACAGTGGGTGGTATGTCTTGGTGACTCCCTGGGGGCCTCAGAGGCTGTGGGAGTGAGTGGGAGCATATAGAGCGGCTGGTGGCAGCTGGTGAGGACAGTCCTGGTACTTGTAACTGTGGTATATGGGGGGAGGGAAGCCTGTGAGTGAGTCAATTGCAGGAACATTTACAGGAGTTTCATAAGCTGTAGATACTATCCCAGTTTTTCAAACCAGTGCACAGGTAAACATTTTACCTGGCTACCAGGTAAAATGCCAAAACCAAGTTTCCAGTATGCACTCAAAAAAAGCAATCCATGGACATGCTGCCTTTTGAAGAGGCTAAAGAAGAGGGTGCCCACATGGAACTGGGATGAGCTAATGCACACACTCCACTTGCCTTGTATTTCTTAAGCAGGGTTGGCCTATAGCTTTCTCCTCAATAGCTTTTTTTTGGTGATGGGTGCATATCTCTTTTTTTCTTTTTTTTTTTTATTAAATGATAGCTGTGTACATTAATGCAATCATGGGGTACAGTGTAGTGTTTTCATATACAATTTGAAATATTTTCATCATTGGCTCAGTGCCTATAGCTCAAGCAGCTAAGGCACCAGCCACATACACCTGAGCTGGAGGGTTCGAATCCAGCCTGGGTCCGCCAAACAATGATGGCTGCGACCAAAAACTAGCCGGGTGTTGTGGTGGGCGCCTGTAGTTCCAGCTACTTGGGACACAGAGGCAAGAAAATTGCTTGAGCCCAGGAGTTGGAGGTTGCTGTGAGCTGTGATGCTATGGCACTCTACCCAGGGCAACAGAATGAGGCTCTGTCTCAAAAAAAAGAAAGAAAGAAATATTTTCATCAAACTGGTTAGCATAGCTGCATCTCTCTTTTTTTTTTTTTTTTTTT